ATGTCCTGTGTCTGTAGGAGACATGTAGCCTGAGAGTGCAGCCCAGGCGGTCAGTCTTCTCGTGTTCAGGTCCTGGACAAATCACTCAGATTCTCAGCCTGAACTCCGCATCTGTAAGATGACACTGTAACAGGGCACCCCAGGAACAATTAGCAGAGGTTGGGAAAATAGCAGGATGCTGGAATTGTGAATGTGGAAGTGGTTTTGGTTTGTACGCTTTCTTTAAAATTAAATAATAGGAAAAGCACGATACCTCCAGGAAGCAGAGACTGCCAGAAAATGAGAATAGATAGTAGAGTTGATGGGGTGGTACTGATAGGTTCAGAATTCTCTGTGTATGTATCAGTTATGGAACTATAGTTATGTAGTTCTAAAACTGGCATCAGTTTTCTCTAGCCTGAAATGCTAATTGCATTAGTGTCCTTTTTATAATCTGTTAATCAGAAGAGGAGGATGCATCTTCTAGATTAGCTGTTATCTCTTTGAAGCTGTTTTTCCCAGTCATATGTAAATTGTAATTTACAATTAAGGGGGGGAGGGAAGGGAGTATCTGGGTGTGAATGGTTTTCTTTCAGATATAGAAATTCTTTGAATTTACTGACAAAAGTTTATTGTTATGTAAGTTGGTGTCTCACCCTAGTAGAAAAACCTGGTGGTCTCTCCCAGTCTGGGAAGCAGTCTTTGAGATGACTTGCTGTCCTCCCAGATCTGTAATAAAGTGCATATGGGTGTTGCAATCAGATGGTCTCATTGCCAGTTGACTATTGAAAGAACCCCTTGCGTTCAGTAACAGTGTGGGCACTAGGGCTGAGGGGTCTTCCCTTGAATGTCCCATGTTGTTTACCATGCTGTCCAGTGTTTGAACTGCTGTTACTGATTAGATTAGAGCAAGGTTCATGAAACAGAAGAGAAAAGGAATTTTCCCAATTTTGAGATTTATATTCTGTGTGTGACTTTTTTTCTTTTGAAGAAGAAGCCTCTATAGATATTAACTGTCCTTGGAAAAGAAAGTTCTTTTGATCATATTTGCTTAATTGTAAACAGTACAAAACTGTATTAAAGAAATTTTAAATCTTAATGAATTACCTCTTGTGACTGGCAGTCTCATGAGTATCTGTCCTTAGATGGAACTACACCTCAGACTCAGGATGAATCTCTTAAAATAGAGTTTTTGGAGGAATGGTATGCGCATTTGTGATTTATAGTGATGTTATCAGATGGAGTTGAACCTCCATGGTGTTGGACCATTTGTTCTTCAACTGAATACACATCTTTCTCAGCTTTTGGGGTTTGCTAGTATTTTAAATCGACAGGGTTACCTCAATATTCTTTTTAAAAATCTCAGTATTGCTTTTAATTATGTTTCCATTTTTTTATTATGCAGTAATTTCAGGAATTTAAATACTTAAGAGATAGAATAAAAATAACTAAAAGGCTAAAAAATAGTATCTAGAGTTCCCAAAATACACAAAATAGACATTGGCACTATAAAAGTAGTTGTTGGGTTTTTTCCCCTAAGTAAACCAGGATAAAATAAAAATTTTATTTAATGAAAAATTCATTAAATCCTCGAGAAATTCCATTTTTACTCCAGTTATGTTACCAATTGTTTCATTTGTGAGGATTTTAATTTTATTTATGTTGAGGTATAATCTATACCAAAGATTAAGGTGTAATTCTAGATCTTCAAAAGTAAGTGCTTATTTAAAAGTAATTGTAAGAAATATCCAAGAGAAGATTATGGGTTGCTTTATGATAATTAGCTTGAAACTCTACCACAAAGGTTATCAGACTCCAGTTTATAAGCTAAGTCTGTCCCGCCACAGGTTTTTGTAAATAAAATTTTATTAGAGCAAAATCATGTTTTGATTTTGTTTATGAACAAAAAAACGATTTGTTTATGAATTTTCTCCTCTGGATTTTTAGAGGAATTCTAGTGACACATAGTAAGGAGGGAGTTGTTAATCCCTATAGTTATATAGTGATTCCCTGTAGTTGCTTCAAACTCTCTATAATTATTTACTATATTTACTCCCTTGTAGTTGATTCGAACCCAATGATGGTGCAAATTCACGAGTAGTTCCTCAGGAGAAAGATGGGCTGTCTCTTATGTGATTTATAACCTCTGAAAACCATAAGGAAGGTTAGCTATGAGTTGATTGCTACTCCCCAACATTGAGTTATATGATTCTTTTTAAAAAAATAATAAATACTGATTTGTATCTAGATGCATTGATTCTTGTGAGGGTGAGGAGACTCTAAAACTGACCCCTAAAATGTTAAACCAAGTAACCAGCTATAGAAATGATGGGAAAGAGTATAAAGATTTTAAGAAGTTTCCCCATGGAGAACTGAGTGTACTTGGATGTAAAGGACAGGAGTTTGCTGGTTTAGATTTTGTCAGGCCGTGGAATCAGCGGGAGAACTCATTTTTTAGATGACTTATGAAATTGTTTCATGCAGTCTTTTAGCGGAATCTTGAAGTTGGAGGATTTGGCTTTGAGTTTTCTTATGTTGGAGAATGGCTAACATTGACAGTAAGTACAGTGACAGTTGAATGTTTGTCACTAGACAATTACAGTGCAGTGACCAGACCTGTCACCCTTCCATCAGAAGCGCAGCAGTCGCCTGGTGGACTTCATTGATCCTTTCACCACACAGCTCACTACTCTATGATTTTAATACTACTTGTGGGTGTTTGCAGTATTTCTGGAGGGGGGTACACATGTCTGATGTATGCTTTAATCTCAGCCTGTCCAAGCTGACAAAGGACAATTGCAATCTTTTCATGTCTATATTACATAGTTAAAACCCACTGTCAGAATATAGTAATACTGCTTCACAGTATTTTGGTAACAGATCACCAATTGTGGTGTAACTCTGTTTTTAGATTTTCTCTGAGCAGTGAGATGTGCAATGGTATTGCATTATCCTTTGAGTGGTGAATCTAACCCCCTTTGTTGAATGTCAGCACAGCAGGCACCACAGATACCAGTTCTTCCTCATGGACACACTTTCTCCACCAACAGGTTTTTGAAAGACACATGTAACCCTTTTTAACCCATTCAGCAGTGTAAATCTATGAATATCCATTGTTTGAATGGAAGGAAAGTTCTCTCTGAAAGGTCACACTCAGCCCACATTTGGATTAGATCAAATGTCAGCTTACATCAGACATTTACCTCTGACTAAAGTGAGGCCAAACTGCGTCACTTCTTTGTTTAAAGGTATTTGACCCAACATCCCAGGTCCCTGTGCCTGGAAAATTGAGTGGCGTGTGGGGGCTCCAGGTTCATCAGGCATCATGGTAGGGGGTCAGAATGTCCTCATTATTGTCTTCCTATAACATCTTTTTTTAAAATACATTTTTATTTTATACAAAGTTCATATACATTTAATTTGATTTCCTGTGTGGCACTTGTAAAAGACGGATTTCTTAGATTCTGAGCAATATAAGAGCTTGTTCCTAGGATTTAGTATCAGAGCTTTGCTCTAGGGGTTGATGAAAAGGTTGGAGGTTTGAATTCATCCTGCAGAATCAAAGAAAAAACAGGCCAAGCAATTTGTTTACTTTTGTAAAGACTACAGCCTAATTGATACCCACGGTGTTCCGAAAGATACTTCACCAACATGACAAAATCAACAGAAGTAATGCAGAAACTGACTAGAACTGTCTGGACTAAAGCCTAGTGCTGTAGTCTTTCAGATGATTAGGGAGCCCTGGTGGCCTAGCTGTAAGAAGCAGCACTGCAGTTCCAAAGGTTTGTGGTTCAAATCTACCACTTGCTCCACAGGAGAAAGATGGGCAGTCCCTTCTTGTGTGATTTATTGTCTCTGAGAACCTGCTGGAGGGCCAGCTATAGGTTAATTCCAGCGGGACAGCATATAACAACAAAGCCCAGTGCTATTATCTTTCTGATATTGACACAGCATAGAGCAGGGTTTAGGGCTGTTGTACATAGGGTCGCTATGAGTCGCAAACGACTCGACGGCACATAACAACAACAACAACAAAATTTTAAGCATGTTTTCTAGGAAAATGTTCTCTAATAGTGAGGGAAAGGCAAAAATCAAGATCACCTAAGCTATAGTACATTTTTGGTTGTTTTTTTTAAAAAAACTGAAAACATGGTATTAGTACACTTTTCAATGTTCTTTTTACTCAGAATTATTGTCTGAGCTCTGATGTTTTACTCCCAGGTAAAAAGATCTTCCTTTTCACAGGGCTGGGTGAGGTAGAGAGACAAATTGGTTCTCTCTCTCTCTCTGTTAGGTAAAAGTTTTACATTTCTCCGTCCGGGAACTGCTCGGGTCAGGCCTTCTGTCTGTGGCCTCGGCCTGAGAGCATCCTTCTCCCCACACTGGGTCCCCAAACTTGAAGAGGAGTTCTGAACATTTTGGGTGCACTCAGAGAGCAGATGGTGCCTTGGATTACATACTGAGTCTGTGTTCTTGAACATGGTGTCAAAGGTGAAACCAAACCGAACAGTTTCTGTTCACTTGACAGGCCCATGTGTATCACAATAGACTTGTACCCCTACCTCCGCCCCGATTTATAAAGGCTTCTTTTTCAGGGGTTTTCTGGTGGTCTGGTGGGTAAGGAGTTGTGCTGCCGACCCAGAGGCAGGCAGTTTGAACCCACCAGCTTCTGAGCAGGAGAAAGATGGACATATGATTCAAAGCCTTTGAAAACACACTGGAGGGTTAGGTGTGGGTGATAATTTTGTTGTTGTTGTTTTTTACCTTTTCCAAAAGAGGATTGTTTGCCTTTTTTTCCCCCTCTCCTTTTTTTTTCCCAGTAACCCCTCTGAGGACTCAGGCTTCCTCCAGTGTTTTCTTTAGCACCTGAATGTGCCACCTGTTCTCATACCCAGGGACTCCGAAGGTGTTCAGGCGATGTTGTACAGGAAAGGAGCAGGACAGTGGTCTGTACTGAGCTGAGTTAGTGTTCGTGTCTGCGTTAACAAATGACTGTTTCTCCCCTCTCCCCTTGCTCTCAGAGCTCTCTCGCAGAGACCCTGGATAGCACCGGAAGCTTAGACCCCCAGAGGTCGGACATGATTTACACCATCGAAGATGTTCCTCCCTGGTACTTGTGTATATTCCTGGGCCTACAGGTAAGACGCACCAGTGGCCTAAAATCTGTTTTGTTCCAGTCAGCTTTGGTTTTTAATTTATCAAAGAGTTTATAATTACTCTAGATGGGAATTAGTAATATCAGTCTTGCAGTAAAAGAAGAATAGAGGGGGTAGATTTAAAGGGAACAGAAAAGAAAAAAGGGACATAAATGAAGAAGAGAAGTGAATGGAAAGATGAAGGAATAGAACTAAGAAAGGGGGAGTGTAGAGTTTGGGGAAAAGTGGAAGGAATCTTCCTCCCATCCCTAGCCCAGTCAGTCAGCAGTACATGTATTTATGGACTTCCGCCCACAGCCCTCGAAACCTCAACCCTGGAATGGGTGGCAGGGAAAAGTGCCATGTTGGCCAGAATAGAAATAGGAGGTTTTGTTTTTCAAAAGAAGGCAATCTTTGTGGCTTTCTCTGCTCTAGTCTTCAGTGGGATCCGGGGAGGGGCAGAGGTGGGTGAGAGTGACATAGCTGAGCAGGCCCTGCGTCCCTGGCACCCTCTCTTTCTGCAAACTTTACCTCTCACTGGATTAAAGTGGGGCTTCTAGAGAAAGAGGACCAGGTGATCGGCTCTTTCCCCGGAAGTATACCTCCCTGTGGTTGTATTTGCTTTGGTTTTAGCTTAGATTCTGTTTTGAAAACTGACTCTCTCAAGTTCATTTCTCAAATTCTGAGTGATCATCTGATCTTGAGTTATTTTGGGTCCTCACAATCCACCCTCTTGCCCAGATGTGGTTGAGACGGTGGGTTGACATTTCCTGCCACGTCCTCGGTTGCCGTCAGAGAACCTGGTACCTGGGCCAGAAGGTATCTAGGGAAGGAGACAGAGCTTGTGGTCTTGCAGGACAACTTCCCTTGGCCTGAGTGTCCTGAAGATGACCAGAAAGCCTGCCTTTTGAGAGACTTGAACTATAGATGTTTCTGGAAGAAACCATTTCTGATCAAATAGATTGGGAAATCCTGCAAGGCTCCTGCCCCTCTTGACTGCACACCATGCACATTGACGACTGAGCAGCCCTGAGAAGTACTGAACTCGTTGCATCATGTATCAGTGAAACATCTGCTAGTATTGATGGGCGTCCTGGCTGCAGGCAACACATTTTGGCAGAAACAGCCGTCAGGGGCAAAGGCTAGACCTTCGCATAACAACCAGGTTTTTTTTTGCAGAGACTGGTCTGTCAGGTCCACAAAAAAGGGAGAGAGGAAAGTCCAGATGGAAGAGGGAGGACAAGGTTCTTTCTGCAGGATTCTCACAGCTACCTTAACCTTTTTGTCTGATGGGATCGATAAATACTGTGTTCATCAACTAGCCCTGTACCACAGAAAAAGACAAAAAACTCCCTCATACAGTAACACTGATGAAACTTTAATCCCCAGGCCTGAAAGTTGTGGTTGGTTGGTTGTTGCTTTTTTTGAAAGAAGACTAATTTATTCCAGAAATTTGTGGATGCCCAATGCTATATAAAATACTAGTAGATCAAATCCTAGAAGTTAGCAGCATGGCTGGGGAGGATTTGTTTCAGGAATGATAGACTGGTTTGATGCACCAACTAAGGAGAAAAAAATGTAAGGATTTTAGCAATCAAGGTGGAAAGGCTTTTGGAAAAAAAAATAGAATATGCTTCTAATACGAAGAATCATATCATGTGGGTAAAATATCAACAGAGCTTGTGTTAAGCACTTCCGTTGTGCTGGTGTTGTTTCATGTACCTTGGCACGTAATAATTAACTTGGAACACAGCAGTTGTGTAAAAGAAGAAGCACTGTAGTTCTATTTTACAGCTGAGGAAACTGAGGCACAATGATGTTGGTATCTTGCTCAAGATAAGACAGCTTGAAAACAGTGTAAGTCAGCTTGAAAACAGCAGAGAATGGGTTTGGGCAATAGGAGTCCTAACGCTAGGACTCACATGTTTAATGGTTCCAGCATCCTGTTCTCATAGAGATGTGTCAGTAATGACTTTGTGTTGAGTCCACTCCTGGGCATGGAGTCAAGGTGACTGACTCTACGTGCACCTATGCATCAGCTGAACTGTGCGCCATGGGGTTTTCAGGGCTGATCATTAGAAGTAGACCACCAGGACTCTCTTCTAAGGCCACCTGTGAGGACTCAAACCCCTAACCTTTTGATCAGCACCTGAGCACACTGTTTTCCACCACCAAGCAACTCCAGAGCACCAGAATGTGCTATAAAGACTTCTTAGATGATGGGCTATGTAAGCTTTCGCCAAGACTGAGCCCGGAAGCCATGCTTGTCATCCTTTGCTGTCGTAGATAGTGAGTTGTGTCATAAGACAAGGAAACATCATGAAGAGGCAGAAGGATGGGAAACCCCACCAGTTGACGTGCATATGTACAAAAGAGCTGCTTTCTGCGTGCTGTTTTAAAGACAGCAAGGGAGCCAGAGGTGGGGTGAGATGAGAAACCCCGGGGTGGGTTGTTTATTCTCCCGCCTCCTCTCCTCTTGCCCACAGCACTACCTGACCTGCTTCAGTGGCACAATCGCGGTGCCTTTCCTGCTGGCCGATGCCATGTGCGTGGGGTACGACCAGTGGGCCACCAGCCAGCTCATCGGGACCATCTTCTTCTGTGTGGGAATCACCACCCTATTACAGACCACGTTTGGATGCAGGTGAGATTGGGGTCCTGAGTTGGGGTGCTGAACCACCATCAGGCATTGAGTGGAGGGGCTGTTTCGAAAGCCTGACCTGGACTATGTGTGAGGAAGGAGGTTGGAAAAGGGCCACACGTTCTCATCCCTCTTGGTGGTGGCACCAGCCCTGCCGGGTTGTGCAGGCTGAACACAGACTCTGTCACACAAACTCAGCCTTATTGTCTCTGCTTCTCTCTGGGGCCCCCACCCCCACCCTGTCCCATAATGCAGACCAGGAAGTGCCCCAGGCTCCCAGTGGTTTGCCTGCCTCCAGGACTCTTGGTCCCACTCTGTGCCCTCCCACAGGGCTGTCCTGTTAGAGCCCCCTCTTCCCTCGGTGGTGCTGGCCAGGCTGGAGCTCCGCTCCTGTTCAGTGACCAGGATGCCCCCTTGTTTATCCTGTCCCCCTGCTCTCTGACTTGCCTGCCTCTCCCACCCCTCACCCCCACTGAGTCCCTGAGTTGGCCCTCCCTCACCCTGAGTGGGCCTTGCTGCTCCAGCCTCTGTGTTACTGCTGCCCGCCTGCCCACCTGCTGGACGGCTCCCTTCCCGCCTTGAAGCCCCCCACCTCCCAACCTCCCAGAAGCCTTCACTATTCTCTCCCAAGTTCCATCTGTGCATCTTTTCTACCTTCCTGTTTGTCCAGGTTTGGTTTTGTATCTTTTTTCTTCCTCTCCCCACCCTGACTCCCCAAGGTCCCTCTTGATGCTCTTGTTTGGCTTATTTTGCTTTGTACCCCAACTGCCCACTCAGTCAGGTGTGGGGCCATGGAAGATGGGGGATCCAGCCCTTTCCTCCCTCCTCCTGAACACCACCTCCCGCCACATCAGCGCTTTCCCAGCAGCCTCGTCCTCGACCCCAGGCTCTGCCTGAGGAAGGAGTGCACCTGACACATGTCTTCAGAGCAGGGCAGGCAGCTGAGTTTCACCTCCCCTCATTTGAAACAGACTGGATGAGGGCTTTTTCCATCCTGGCTGAGGATGGGTGGAAGGCAAGAAAGACCACAGCACGGAAGAGTCTTTGAAATCCTAGACTGTATTTCAATAAGTTAAAATCCTCAGGGACCTCAGAGGGTTATTCACACTTTAGAGAACCAGAGAATGACATGGGATCTGTGAGCTGATTGAATATGGAAGGAAGGGTCAGGGGGAAGATGGTCACTCAGAGGCCTACTGATGGACAGAAGAACCCTGTGACCCCTAAAATTCTCACACCCTGGCTCCTGCACCCTGAAGGCATCTAGTCTCAGAAGGCAGGAGCACTCCTTATCTGACACTGACATCCGAGGGAAAGGAGATAGGAAGTCTTTTACTTTCTCAGAACTAGGCCTTCCTTGGCAGCTGGCATCTCATGCCCTTGCCCTTATCCATGGCTCAGTTGTGAGTGGGTGGAAAGCTCGTTTCTGGCAGGGAGCCTCACCTTCTCCTCCGGGACATGCCCATTTGTGAATCACAGCGATGCTGGAGTTGGGTAAAGGTGGTTGTTCTGAAGAGCTTTATTGCTGGGGGACATGCATAGTCTGCAGGCCTGCCCTGCTCTCGGGCCAGGTTCACCTGTGACGGTGCTGGGCCTGTGGCCTAGTGGCCCAAAGGTGACACAGCAGGGAAGAGGGTTTGGGAACTTTGGACCAGGGCACCCGTCCAGGACCCTCTCACTGTTGGCACAGGACCTGATAGAACAAGTCAGGCCTGTGTAGTTCGCCCAGCTACCCAGTCTAGGGGGAAGTAGGAGGGGAGAGCTCAGGGACCCAGGTATAGAACAGCAGCTGCCTTGAGCGTGACATGTGCCTATTCACGTGTGTCTGCCCTCCATGCCCCAGAGACCTGCTTTTCCTTGCTCTGATTTGTGGGGGAAAAGGTGTTGGGGACAGCCTCCCCATCTCCTCTGCTAGGTGACAGGAGAGGGCTCCTAGCTGTTGTTTGGCTGTAGATACCATGTCTGATGGCCATGTCCATGCATGTGTGCAGTGTAGGGGGTGAGCTCGAGCCTTTCAGGGAAGTGTCCATTAACCTTGGAAGAGGGAAGATCAGTGTGTTGGCTCATGGACTTAACTGTCTGCCCCTAGTGCCGGGTGCAGAGGCCCCAGTGTGGGGGTCATAGCAGAATGAGTGGTCACTGCATTGTGTGGACGACAGTCACAGGAGATGTCCAGGCTTCTCATCCCAGTGGACCTGGGCTATCAGTCACAGACATCTCAGGCTCAATGCAGGGACTAGTTATCAAACCCATTAAAGTCCTGAAAGCTGAGGCTGTATCCTTCAACCCTGATGCTGTGACAGCCAGTGATTGTCACGAACAGCCACAGTGTCCTCGCTCCACAGAGGGCACTTCAGCTGCTGGGGCATATCCACCGGAGACTTTAGTCTTCCTGGTGCCCACATGCCGTATCCAGGGCTCAGCACGGAGGAGGGTCTCTAGGCCCCTATAGCTCATCTTCCCAGGTGTGGCGGGAGGGGAGTCCCTCTGCTTGGAAGCCACCTCCAGCCTTTCCCCCAGGTGCCTCAGAAGCATCTGACCCCTGCGTGGGAACAGGGATGCCAGGACTCGGATTTGGGGAGGGTTTGGGATTTTCCCTCAGATTCCCTTTCTGTGGGGGGGCTGAATATGTGGAAGTTTCAGATTACCTCTGAGTTACTTTAAAAGTGAAAATTACAGACATCATGACAGTTCAGCCTCCTGGGAAGGAAGATGTGTCCTGTGAGAATGAGACCACAGTGCCGTGTGTCACCCCTCATAAAATGAGCCATCACTGCATACCAGTCTCCCGATAACGCAGTTCTGCACAGAGTCCCCAGTTGTCCACCGCCCACCTACCTGAACTAACATCTTCCCCTCAGGACGGTGCTGGGGATACACTGCTGTGTCTCCCTGGTCTGTTAGTAATAAACAGCTCCGCATCTTTCTCTCTCCCAAATGGTTGCCTTTTTCACTTGTGAAAGACAGTCATCTCACAGAGTGTCCCCCAGGCTGGATTTGCCTGACTGTGTCCTCATGGTGTCATTTAATTCTTGTTGCAGTCACCTTTATGTGCCCTTTACCTACCTTCTCCTCTTTGTTGTTGTTGTGTACCATTGAGTTGGAACCAACCTGGAGCTGACCCTCCAGCAGGTTTTCAGAGGCATTAATCGCATGAGAAGAGATTGCCCATCCTTCTCCCGTGTTTCCCCTTTACCTCCAGTAAAAACTGAACGACAGGGCCAGAGGCGGGCTTGATTCAGGTGAGCAGTTTTCCCCAGTTCAGTCTGTCTTATCAAGCAAGCACCTTATGGCAGCTTACAGGGTGAGGATCCCCCCACCAAATAAGAAGATCACTGCCAATTTAAAAATGAAAAGAGTGAGAGTACATTAGAAGGCCAAGGCCATGAGCATCTGGAAGCCACGACCTCAGAGAAGTTTGGGCTCAGCGGTCTCCCTTCCGCATGTTGTGTGGACCTCGTAAGGCCCCACGCCCTCGTCTGTAAACTAAGTGTGGGTGAGCCTCAGATGAGGTAGTGCCTGGCACCTGCCCACGCTTGACTGTTAGCACCGCTATTTTAGTGACACCCCGCCTGGGAAGGAGGCATGTGGGTTTCTGGGGTGTCACTGGCCAAAGCCGGAAGGCTAGAGGCAGTGTTCCTAGACACATATTGCAGGGAGTTGTGCCAGGCTGCTGGGGTGATCTAGCCAGAATGCCTCCCCATCTCCCTGCCACCCAGCTCCTGCCTCTCAGCAGAGAACGTTTGCCAGGGCGCGGGCTCCCCGAGTTAGTTCATCCCTTCCTCTCTCTTTTTTAAGTGGTCACTCCCTTCAGGGAATACATTCCTGTTTGCTAACATTTCTGAGGTTCTTGGGAGCTAATAGTACCCCCCTGTTGAGTGCTGTAGTGAATTTAGTTCTCTTCACCCTCCAGGCCAACCTGCCTTGTGCTCCCCACAGGCTCTACCACTCCTCACCCCGATTTCGTCCTCCTCAGGCAGCTGAGTGCACCCACAAAAGCGCTTCACAGAGCAGCAGTAGCGGGCGTGAGAATAGAGCCTGCCACCACTTAGGAGAAGGGAAGCTTGTCTTTTTCCTCTTTAATTTTGGAGGGTTTTATAACTGTGTTGTGTAACTGTGTACTAAGAACTGTGACGTCGTCCCCTTTTTCTCCCTTCCGCGAGACTCTTGTCAGCTTAATTCTTCCAGTCATGTCTACTGAGGTGAATGGAAATGCAGTCAGACCTCCCTCTTTTCCAGTTTTAAATGCACACTTAGGCGAGTTTTTGCCTTGTGGATGGTCAGTTAACCACCAAAGTCAAGTCCGGGCATTGCTGCACTCCAAACATTTCTGGAATGCTCCCTTGTACCTAGTTGTAAAGGTATTTTAGGCTGGCATAGATACAAAAGGGCAGAGAGTGTGTGATTCCATTTACATGAAATGTCTGCAATGAGTAAATAACGGAGGGACAGATGAGAGGTTTTCAGAGACTTGGGCAGAAGGGGTAACGGAGAGGTATTGCTTGATAGAGAACAGTTTCTGTCAGGGATGATGAAAAGGTTTTGGAAGTAGATGTGAGGGTAGCATAGCATTGTGAATATAGCTAATGCCATTTATTTTCATGCCATAAAATGAGTAAAATTTTAAATGTTATGTGTATGTATTTGTGTGTGTGTGTGTGTGTGTGTGTGTACACATACACTAAGCATCTATATATACTTAGTAAGTGCTTGGCATGAAATAGTTAATACCTTGAAAAGGAGATTAGCACTTAAAATTGTTTCTAACTAGGCTTTATAGTTTGCTCTCTCAAATTGCAAAGGTAATGGTCTTCACTTGTGAATCTGGACAGTGAATAAAGATGACGGAGGAGGACTTGACACCTTTGAGCTGTGGTGTTGGAGAAGAGCGCTGAGCATTCCATGCGTGGTTAAAAGAACAAATATGTCTTGGAGAAGGTGCAGCCAGAGTGGTCTTCGGAGGCAAGGATGATGAGGCTTCACCTCACATACTTGGGCATGTT